GTAGGGAAGGCAGAGATAAGGAATTGATTAATATCATAAATAAAAAATAATAAATTAAATTTCTTTTGCTTACCCCATGGCTGCTCTCCGCTATCGTCCAATGCTTCCCCAGGCTTCTTCCTTTTCCTCTCAGGTTGTCGGATAAATAGTTCGTTACGTTCATGCACTGCATCTACTTACGAAAAAACGATAATGACGATCGCGCGCGAATCTGCGGCACGATAAAAACGTACGCACGTAACACTTTGTACGGCACTCCCGATTTTAAGACGCGACGAACTATCCGCGACACAATGAGAATAAACGGACGACATTTTTCACGGCACTCCCGAATTCCGCGATCACGAAGCAATATTCAATAATCGATAAAAAAAAGAGAATATCGACGGAACGGGTCTTAAAAGCCTTAAGAAACTGTTAAAAAACCGCTTGGGTACTTAGCTTCCCCTTCAGGATAAACCTTCCAGGTACTGAGCCCTCCCACCAACGTCAAGGTGTACCCATTGGGAGGGTTTCACCGGCAAAAAGCCGACGATGTGATATATGTGTGCTTTAAAAAGACGAGTATTCAAAGAAGCTTTGAAAAGCGGAAAAATTTCGAAAATCACGCGACCAATTTCACAGCGATATTATACCTACTTCGGCAATATTACTTATTCTTCTCTTTGCACACTTTTGCGCTACAACAAAAACAAATTATGCTTCCATGTTTTAAAGGAATTAATATTTCATATTATAAGTGACAATTATTTATATAAAAAAATCGTCTGAGAGTATAGTCGCTATGCCAAATATGTTCGCGTATTAGAATCGAATAAATCTCGCGAAATATATATAGCGCTTCAATAAATTATAGATTGCTAAACGCCGTATCTATATTACACAGTTAATGAATATTGAAATATGAATTAATTACGACCGTACTTATTGCTTAAACGCATCACGATATCGCTCGACTCGGAGTCGATCTGTTTCGTATACGCGGCGTTATACTTTCTTTCTTTTTAATAGCCACTTCTGATCTAGGGTGTGGTCAGATTATTCCGGCCAACAACTGGTAAAGAGTAATAAATGATGAGTAGTAAAAAAAAATCCTCTTTAGAAGAGAAGAAAATTAAAAAATAAGATCCGAATAAAGGACACACGCATAATGTGTCAGAACGCGTCCGTTTCCATCCGCGGGCGGCAACGAACTATGCGGCGTTATATTCTATTACTAAACGGAGAAAAACAAGAATGTTGACAAGTTCACCGTTCACCATGCGACACGACGTGATTGATACAAGTCGAGTGGATGTAAATAAACATAGTTGTATATACAGTTTCCTTACTGAGATTATTTATATATAACTATAGTCTCTCTCCCAAAACATTTTTTTACTTTTTTACTTCCTCTCGCAAATATACACATACACATACATCACTTTCAAAAGTCTCTAAATTTATTTAAAATTAAGAAGGGAGTGTCAAGCCAATTACAGTCTCGAACAGAGTTCAGCATCACGTGCTTCGCTGCTTAGCCGTATAATGTGTGGTTTGTAGCGACAATCTCTTTGCATCCTGGTTTCGTATCGTGGATCGGGATACAGAACCGGAGAGGCATAAATGCGCGTGTATACGAATGCGTATTCATGCCGCGCGATGTATGTATATGTCTGTATCCTCCGCAGGAGACCTTGACAGGTCGGGCGCTGGGTATAGCTACGCGGCGCCGCGGTTTGCTCGTATATCTCGACCCACGCAAAAACATTCGTTAGTAAGCGATCTCTAAAATGGATACCTTAATGTAGCATTCGCAAACATTATTATAGCTCCGCGACTCCGCTTTTCCCCGGTTCTCTCGCTCATGCAAATAGAACTACTTTATTTGCGTCTCTTCGCGATCCCGCCGCCCCGCTCGACCCCATTTTATCACGGCTTCAAAGAAAATTTTCTGCGTTACATTAACCGATATGGAAACCACCATGAATATGCTCAGAGATTACTCTCGTGGCATTCTCGCAATTCGGTAACAAATCTAGACTGCTCGCATAAAAAAAAATTGCATCAAAGATACGGCGATGATATAAAAATTCATAAATGGAATAAAAATACTAGAAAAACAATAACGATCGATGTTCAATACACATTATATAATGTTAAATATTAAAGCTAATTTATATAATTATCGTCAGTAAAATATTCGTATAATTATATAAAACTCCATAATTTTTATTCATAGCATATAATCGATTTTCTTTCTTTCTCTCTCTCTCTCTCTAAGATCGTTAACGGCATACAAACTATCGAAATTAGTTTACTTTCAATTTAGCGAATCGATCCGTCATACGATAGTTTAGAAAATTTACAGAAAACAACGGTGGGTGGTAACATAAAACGATAAGATGAAAAGCGATGCATCAGAGTTGACTAACAAGTCGTAATATAATACAAACAGGAATAAGCTAAGAAAAGAAGAGAGAGAATGAAAAAGAAAGAATCGTAGAAATACAGGAAGAGATTCAAACAACTGTACCTAGAAACTATAAAAATATCATACATATTTCGATGAATTATTATGATTTTCAAGATTGATTCAATATTTCACAACAACAAAAAAAAACGAATAGCGGAATATCAGTTGATTAAGTTGTAGCAGAATGAAAACAGAAATAAACCAAGAAAAAGAATTAAATAGAAAAAGAGATCCTGTTATATACAAAATTCATATTTATGAAAACTTTTTGGCGCATTATCGTGTATTATTTTATGATTCATCAAGATCGATCCAGCAACGTTTAAAAAGGAATTAAAAAGCGTCTATCGTAATATAGAGCGATGAGACGAAGAACATCGCGCCAATTGACTAAGTTGTAATATAATGCAAACAAAGATAAAACGAGAGAGAAATTTAGAGAAAGAAGAGAAAGACAGATAGAGAGGGAGAACGAGTCGACAGTGGCGAGCAGTAGCTGGTCGACTGACAGCGCCCAAAGAATTAGTATCTTGTATCTGGCGAAGAGCGCTACAAATCATTTGGGGAGGCTGTCAAGCATACCTCGAGCTCACTTCCCCTGCCTTCTCTCTCTTTCTCTCTCTCTCTCACTTTCTCTTTCTTACTCTGGGCGTTGTGTTCTCTTCATCTCTCTCTCTCTTTCTCTCTTCGATGCTGCGCCAACGATCTTGGAACAGGGGCGCACCTCTTCCTCTATTTCTCTCTTCGGTTTTTTCCTCCTCTCTCTCTCGTTTGTTTGCATCTCTTTCTTGCTCGCGACAGAAAGAGCGGGAAGATCAAAGGACGCCGGCGCCATCGATGCCGCTAATGATATGCGACCCGCTGCTGCCGGGCAAACTGGAAACTTGAGGACACAAAATTTGGACTCCCCCGAAACAAACCGCCGCGGAAGATTCTTCCCAGCAGTTCCTTCTTGAGATACAAGTCAACCTATTGAATAAAGAGCGAAAATACCGATAGAGGTTAAGTGTGCACCGGCGACACTGTATATTTTAACATTTCCATTCTCCTAGTTAATATTTCGAGAATGAAATTTCATCATAAATCTCTCTTATTCTTTAATTATAATTTTTATCTTTGAAAAACTGATACCATTCCTCCCCTTTCTTTTTCCTGATGTTTCCGCTACCCATATTTGCAAACTTTGAACAATGAACGACTGACATAAGATTTTCGCGCGGTGACGCGTACAAGTTTTCGCGAGTTAATTTGCATTCGGCACGCGTACGCACGGAACCTTTCATACCGTTGGTATAATTCAACGTTACAGTTTTCTCTCTCGTGCATGGTGCCGAAAGGCATGACGGAGTCCACCATTTCAATCGCTTAGGTTCGCGCGAATTACCGCCTCCGGCCTTTTACGGCACATCAAAGGGACAGGGGACCCGTAAAGGAGCGCGCGGCTGTCTTAACATATTCGAATCCCAAGGCATCTCTCTCCTTCTTCCCGTAACTCTCCCCCTTTCGCTCTCGTTCTTGTTCGCCACCTTCGCCCTACGCACCGTGCAAAAGCGACCCGTTGCTCCTCGAGGAGGCATATGGAAGGTGTTTGACGTGCTTGCAATTCGAGGAGAGAACGCGAGGCGATTGATCCCTAAAAGCCCCGGAGATAAACTCACGCTCGTGTTTTTTTCGCTCGGGAAGAAATATCTCTCGAGGAGAGCACTGCGTGCGCGCGCGAATAAAGCGTTTATTCAGACGGAGATGCGCCATATTGACGTGAAATTTTTCTCTCAACGCCCCATATGCCGGTTATTTACTCACCTGCCAGCAAAACATCTTAATTTACTAGAGAGATTTTTAATATCGTGCAAATAGACACATTTGGAGAGAAAGATACATATAAAAATACCATCAATAATAAACTAATTAATAAACTTGATCTCCAAAAAACTGTTTTTCATTGAAAATTCTTAGTAATAATAAAATCACATAAAATTTAAGAGATTAAAAGTATCCTTGATACATTTTCTCATATAATAGCTCAGATTAACTACGCATTCGATTAATTACGCGAGTGCCTTCGCTTTTTGTTTCAGGTAGCGATTAAGATAATAGATGTCGAGCAAGGCAAGAAGGATTACGTGATGAAGAACCTGACGAGGGAGGCGAAGGTGCTGTCAATGCTACAGCATCCAAGCATCGTGAGACTATACGAAACTATCCGGGTGAGTGAGAAACGCTTTAGGGTGCAAACAATTCAGAGAATTTCGACGATTGATCAAATCTCTTTACTCTAATTGACCGCGTCGAAAGTTTAATCGTGTCCTTAATAACAAGAATGATTCACCACGGTCGATCAACAAGATTCAGTCGCGACGTCCATTGTACTTTCGTATAACGATCTATTCATTCCCCGTCGAAAGGGAACTATCCCTCTCGTAGATTCTACGCTTCTTCGATCATGTCTCACTCTCACCCGGTATATGACGTTCGTCAGAGCTCCGTGACAAATCGCGAGTATCCTGAAATTTCGTCAGTATCGGAGTCCGTTAACGTCATCCGAGAGATGATCCATCTTTCTGAATTTAATTAAACACGCCATTTAGCTAAATTTATGAACCTGCCCGGATGCGTATCAAAAGTAGAAGAGCTTTTCACCCCTTTAACTGTCTTACTTCGCGATAAACTTGGGGTTCGAACGAAAATTGAGGTTCGAAATAAATTCTCATGATCTCGATTTTTGAGTCTTTCAGCTTTATTACTGATACAAATAAATACTGAAACTGGATATATGATTTTTTGATGAATTCAAATTTCGATACCGCAGGCGCATCAATAGTGTTTATTCGTAACAATGAAGAGTATGTTTTTTTTCATATTCGTGACAAACATCGGAAATTGATTTCACCGACATTATATCGATTTCAATTCGCGAGTGTAAACTCGGAAAATAATTTCTTTATGCTGCAATTCTTTCCGCGCCAATGTAAAAAAAAAAAAAAAATCTAGACCGGCATCATTAATGTGCGGCACTATCGTACGTGACCCGGCTGTTACACGCGCGAACGTTGAAAATCCAACACGCAGATTCGCATACACACACGCACATATACACACGTGCACGCATGCAAACGTACGTACATGATAAAGGTGTATCCGAGCGAGAGGAAAAAAGCCAGGGAGAGAGGATTCTCGTATGCTTGTACGACGTAATTGAATTCATGTGTGGGACGTCGATATCAGAGGCTCCACCGGCGACGCAGCATCGCGCACCTCGTTTACTCTGAAAATTTTGTTAGTCCGCGCGCTCGCTCGTCACGATCGAGTTACGGGGACGAGGGTGTAGTGTACGCGCCGGGAAAGATAAAGTACGTAGAAAAATATGACGGGAAAACGCACGCGACCGGCGAGATAACCCGGCTGCGCGGGATTCGAGAATTTCGGAGCTCTGCGAAATATTTCAGCACGAGATGAACGGGCAGCTCGGGGGCGACCGACCCATGTTCGACTCCGGGGAGACGTGTGTAAAATTTTTCAAGCCAGAATACTGCTGCCGGAATCGTTTCTTGCATATGATAGCCGGTGCATCTTCCCTTCAAGAGCAACGCGACTAGAAAATTTATGAATTTTTTGCAATTTGCTTGTAAAATCTGTCTTCCCCCGATTCTTATCAATCTACGAAATCATCAAACAAAATCCTCATCAAATCTACGACATTTGCATTAATCTAATTCTCAATTTATCGCGATTACATAGAGCATGCATTTTTTTCATATCTATGTAGAACCGCTTTTTGAAAGAACAGGAAATTTTTACGTTTCGTAATAATCAACAGGCAATATTTTCCAGTATTTCAAACACGAGTAAACATGCAATAGGATGTGATATTCGCGGAAAAAGGATTCATTTCCGCGAGCTTTCATAAACGGACGAACGAGTTTCGAGATGGCATCGTTCGATTTTTTTCTCTCGATAAAAATGATTTTATAGTCTTGCAGATGATATTACTTTCTCCATACGTTTATAAAACGCGTGGATAGAAGAGTGCGTCTTGTTTTATTTAAGCTTTCCATCGAGGGGAAAGAGCTATTGGCGATGAGAAAGCTCGCACCTGACGGCAAATATGCTAATATCGAGACGAGACTTCGCCTCGTCTTCCTCGCCGTCGCCAAATTGGCTATATATGACGTCGCCTTATATCTCATTTCCACGTCGTAATCTTTACGATGGTAAAGGCGCGTTTATAGGGTGCCCGGCATGTATTTCGACTGCCGATTTTGCTAGATTCTTCGAAGCATCTGCGCCTGCATGCACAGATCGTAAAGTATATCTATTTTCCAAACAACTGGCTTTTCTTAGGGTCGTCTGCAAGTGACGTGGCTGCGTGACAATAGCAATCGATGACGAAAACGTGTTACCGACGATGCTGCATACGGCTAATAGAGTATGCACACATACAAAATGGCTACTCTCTCTTGTATTAATTATTGATAGACTTCGGATTTTGATAGCATGACAGTCAACGCGCAAACGCGCTTACCGCAAGTTTCCGCATTTCCATATTTATGAATAATTTATTCCGGTTGAATGTAGAGTTCTCATGCTGCCCTTTTGATTTAATATAAAAATTCGTGAATTCAATTTACATATATGCGAATACTTAATTCTGTTACAATCAGTTGTTTTATTATATGTATATCAGTGAAAAGATCATTAAACAAAGAGAGGAAATTACATAAATATGGTGAAACAAAAAATACGTAAAGTATACTTTCCAATATATATGATATACGAAACGCGCAGTGTGATAAAAATTTCAGTTTACTGTAAATTCATGGCAGGACATAACGTACCAGAACAACAAAATTTCATTCTCAGCGAGGACAATGGGTCGGTGATCATTTTTTATGTCGTAAAGCTGCGTTATTGCAAGCGCATTTTCCGATACCCAACATTTTAGGCAAAGCCGTGACGTTTACGGGTTATCGATGTTTCCGATGTTTCTAGTGGCTAGATTGTTTATTTTATTGCCCATCGTATACAGAAATTCAAAATTATCGTTCATTTTTACGAGACGAATTGATATAAAAAGCAGCGCTCTTACTTATTTATTTCAAATAATATTAATATTAATCGTGTGTTGTATATCGTGACACCATTAATATATTCAATTTTCTATTTAAAAATTAAAATCACAAGTATCTACATATAAAAATTATTCTAAACTCATTGTTCTACCCAGCTAAACTCAAGGCTTAATTATTTATTAAATCATTGTTGCAGTTGTATCAAAAGAGAGAAAATAGCTTCAATTAAATTATTTATTTGCAGATATGTAATAAATAATAAATTACAAGATGGGATATATCTTTTTCTGAATCGCTCTGTATATAATAGGAAAAGGCGCACGTGCCTGTCGATTTTTACGAAGATGCATGCTCGGCCGTCAGCGCGTTACTCATGCTCGGGATATTGGAGGAAAGCCGCTTTAAGCGCCAATTAAGGTCATTATTGTCGGCCTACAGCGGCTGTAAACGCACCGTTCGCGCGATTTTATGTCGGTACCAATGTTACGAGCCGATGAATCGCATAGGACTCGCCTGTTACTGGCATCCAACGACGCTAGTCGTTTCTTTCATTTAGGGGATGAAATCGCTATAAAAATGAACGCGTCGACAACCACATCTGCAGTGTGCTATTACAAGGATTTCGAGTTGCCTCGTTGGAGCAATATGACGTCATCTTAAATAATAATATTGCAGAGATTTGCCAGAAATGTTTCGTACAAGAACGCTTTTATTTCGTCATAAAAGAAATAGGCAGTTTGAACGCAAACGCGTAAGAAAAAAATGATATATTAAAAAACTAACGCCTGGAGAATTTGCCACGACAGTTTGTGCTTAGTCTGTAAATAGTTTTTAGCGAAAGACGAAATGTTTTAAACAGATCAATGGAAACGATTTAGAGATCCCGCGATACCACAATCTAAGAATGTGTGTATGTTAAATTTAAGCTAAAGGAAAGTCTGCTTTAAATTTCGCTCAAGATCTCATATAACCGATGCACACCTTTTTGGCACGAGCTGAGCGAGCGACATACGTTTCTTGTTTTGCTCGGAGAAAGAAATGAATTCCACGTTTGGCACTCTTTTCCTATCGCCGTCGTTTACATATGTTGAATTTACGTTCCTATTTTACCCATACTCGGTGATATATCGAAATCGTGAATCTCACGTCCCACCCGGTGATTTCGACTTCGACTTGATTCGGTTGGCAAGCGCCGGTCGTATCAACGAATATCCCCGCCAAAACGAAACGGCGATTTTTGCCAAGCGAGATAGAGCAGCATCTTTCGCGAATTGACTTGACAAGTGGTCTCTGTACTTTCAGAGAAGTTCTCCTTTGGTTTCTATTGGTTAAGTTCTCCCCCGGCCGTGCCGAATAAAGCTTGTCGCGTAAAGCTTAAATCAAGTGAAACGATATTTTTCAGCGACTTGTTTCCCAACTACTCTCCCCCTGGCAATCAAAATAATTTTCTAGTAAGTAAAGAGCTCGTGACACAATTTTATATCTCAACAATATTTTATTTGTATAAAAAATTATCAGATTCTATGTAAAATGTGTATATACGCTAATATATTTCTTATTATAAATATATTTCAATAAAAATTTTTAAAAGTGTAATACAATTTTTTGTTATATTTTATTACTTTTTTTAACTAAAAAAATATATGTAACACACACGCAAGATAGAGTTAAATTACTAAAACTTATTATAAATCCTCGGAGCAACTAATGTGATACCCAGCGAGGAGGATTAGAGATCTCGTTTCATCTGACTTTGCGATTAACATTCGATTCCTGGTACGCGCATGCGATATTCATTCGGCTCGCGCGATTCATGCGATTTATGATTAAAACAGTCGGGCCACGCCGATGTGTCCAACCTCGAGGAATGAAATAATCATCGACGCCCGGAGAACACCGACTCGCCATTTGACCGGGTGCGGCTCCGAATCCGCTCCGACCGTAATTCGTCGGTCACGTGCGGCCCCGTCGACGTTGCTGCATGCATATCGTTGCATTAAAGTAATCGCTTAATCGACGAGGTCCACGCTCGTGTCTCGCGAGCGCGCGCAAAATTTGGGAAACGCTTTCTCGATAATTACGATGCGCCTCCGCTTCGCTGCATTTTAAATACGCGCGATCAATTTCGCGCGACCGGTCTCGACTCTCATCAGCTCGTTGCTTGTTGCTCCATTTTCACGAGCGCGGCGACTAAAATGTATGACCGTACTTCAGCGGTAAACCGCACGAACCAAAAAGATGAGAAACGCGATATGTTAGCGGCATTTAATAAATTTGAAACGTGTCATCGTGAATCATACTTTGCAAGCTCTGTTTCTTTTTGTAATTTGTTGCTGAAGTATAAGAAATTTCAATCTACAACACTCGCAAGATATCGAAAGAGATCATCCAAGTGTTATTAATATAAAAAAAAAAAAAAAAAAAAAAAAAAAAAACGATTGTATGGAGAATCTCACCGTATAATTATATGCAAATATAATTCATGTATTCTACGAATTTACAAATTGCTGTTTTATGAGTTTGGTATGCTCGGTATAATTTTCATGTGAATTTAGATTTCTATAAAATATAACGTGAAACAAAGCATCCAAGAAGCTATGAATCTAAAAAATCCAAGAAATTGCGGGATATCCTGTGTTGTTGTATCTCCTGGATCTTTACGATACTTCACGCTATCGATGCGGATCGATAACGATTTAATTTAACGCCTGCTTACAGTGCGGATCCGTGTACTATCTCGTGACGGAACTCGCGACCGGCGGCGACCTGTGCACGCACATTAAGGAGCAGCCGGCCGGTAAACTGGACGAGAACACGGCGAGGCTCTATGCCAGACAGCTGGTCGCCGCTCTCAAGCACATGCACTCGAAAGGAGTCGTTCACCGGTGAGTCACTCGCGTTTTAGCCACGCTGTGCGCGAATTTTCGAGCTGTGTTCGCGACTGGTCCATTCCAACAGATTTCTTACAGTACTCTATATCTAATAATAAAATATAGGAACAACTTGCGAAAAAACTCGAATTTTTTCTTGTAAATCGAAAACTTAATTCAAAGCCATATAAAAATTTTGATTCGGGAATTTCAAGAGAATATAATATTATTATAATATAAATTTATGCTAAAAGGAAAACACTACTCTAATTTTTGATCCGAGATCAAGCGACAGGAAGCGAAGATATTTCATAAAAGAAAAACACCACTATGTATATGTATATGTGTGTTATATTACGTGACGGCCGTGTTAAAATAGCGGATGGTATAAATCGGCCTTAAGATGCAACAATCTCACGAGGATCTGCCGGGCGCGCGATCGTTTACCCTCCACGCGTTTATCCTCCACGGTCTAATAATATTCAACCGCACGATGTGTCGTGTCTTTTTTTTCCAGTTCGCCGCGGTGATGTACGGCGTTGGCCGGCCGTATCGCTTTAATAAAGAAATCGTCCGACATATTACGCACGAGGGAGCGCTTGTGTGAGATCGCGACCCTGGAGAATCCGAGACACACCGTCTCGTGCGATCGCGCGGTGTCGATAACCACGCGCGTTCCTGTTTATTACGAGCGGAATTACACTCGCGAGGATACTCACTTGCGCTTCCTCGACCGAGGATGTTTCCCATCGTCGGCCGCATCGACGATTAAAAGCGGCTTCCTGAATTAATTAACCGGCAAGTTCTTCATGCGGATTGCGCGTGAGCTAATTTTGTTAACCGTTCAAATTTATCGCAGCTTAAACGATATCTATTTATATCTTGTAACTGGAAATTATCTTGAACGTGCTCGAGCGAAATGTTGTTCAAGCCTCCCTATATCTTGCTTTGATATAAAAAGTTAGCGGTATAATCTATAAAATTGAAATAGAAGGGAAAACGAGAGTTATCATTTATCGCCCCTATTTCTCATCACCTATCATATTATTTTCATATCACATTTCATATCAGCATATATTGCAAAACGCGCATGTAAAACAAGATTGCTAAATCGAAATCGCACGGATCATTTTTTACATTCCCGACGCGCATTGATATATAGGGTGTCCCAATTACACATTACGGCAATTCTCTCTAATCATTAATAGATATTAAATTCATAAAAATGACCATTATTTCAGCATCGAGATTTTTTATAGCTGAAAAATGATTTCACGGATACATATCATAGACGCAAATTTGTATACATTTAAAATATCCAATGATTCCAGACACATTGTATATCGCGCGTGCATTAGCATCACCGGCGTGGAAAGACGCGTGTCGCAATATTTCGGCAGGCGTCGCGACGTCGTATGCATCATCCAGATAGGGGGACCGGTTGATTTTCAACACATTTATGAAGAAGGCGTCGCGACGCTTCCCTCGCGATGAAGAAAGCGTAATGATGCACGCACGTGACGCGCTACGACAAGGGCTAATAGTTTGCTCTCATTGCTCGCGAAGGATCAGCGAATATAAAGTAGTCGGCAATATGGCGTACATCTCGCGACAGTTTGTTTTCGTTGAAAATGTATAGTCTCAATTTAAAAAAAGACATCAAAAATATAAAAAAGAACACGCCAAGTATATTTTCCTCTTTAGGCAAAATAACATCTTTACAAAAATGATATTAAAGAGATAGATCGAATAATAGTTCTTTACAAAAAAAAAAACAGAATTTAACAAATAGCCTAATCAAAATAATAGTTCTTTACAATAACATCATTAAAAAAGAAATATAAATTAATAGTACGAAAAATTATTGAAATTAAACAAAAGAGTTCAAGTATATTTAAAAACTTTGCAAAAATAGTATTTTTATTATGACCGAAAAAGCCTGCTACTCCGATAAAGGATACGCTGTAACGTCGCTGTCACGGAATTGTATTACTGTTTTATACTTGGCGCGAGACGCTACCTAGTCTCTTGATTTCGGATGATAGATCGTCGCTCTCTCACAGGCTCGCACGTCAGCTAAGGGTAACAGACGAGGAGGGAAAGATGGAAAGGGTGTCGGACCGGCAAGGGATCTTGCGAGGAGGGTTAGGAAAATCGCTATAAGCGATCGCTTAACCCCTCGAGAGATTAGCCCGTTTCTCCAGCTGCGAGAGAAAGAGAGAGGTAGTTGTTTGCTGCTAATGGGAATGGAGAAGATTCGGTGCTAAGGATAGTTAACGATCACTGCTCGCGGATGCGTTCCTTTTTGCGAACCGCGTTACGTGTATATCGTTAGATTAAGACAAACGGAATCAAAAGCTATTTTGACTCTTTCTCTGATCAAGTTTCTCTGTTCTGTATGAGACAAGTGATATCTCTGATATTCTCGATTAAAATTTCCTTCAATTGCTTAATCGAATTATAAACAACAATTCATCACAAATGTTACACTGAAATTAAAGATGTTTACGCAGAACGCTTCTATCTTCGCAAGAAAGATACCGAGAAAAACTGATAAATGATAACAAAGCGGAATTGCGCCATCGTTAATCTTCGAATAAAGAATTAAATTGTTTGTTTCCTTTCGCCCGCGCTATTGTCATATATCGTCGCATATCCCTTCAATAGATTCTTCGCGGCTTTTCTTGACGAAGGAAAATCGTGAGAAAGGGGAAAAGAGGGGAAAGGAGAGCCTCCTTTATACAGCGCTTTCTCTTCACCCAGGATCATCGAACATCCACAGGCTCACGTTTTAATTCCGATGAACACCTCCCGATTTGCTCCAGTATTATTCGCTGGACAAAACCTTGAGACGAGAATAGGATTACAATTTACTCGTGCTGTATCCCGTCGAAAAAAGAGAGAAAGAAATAGTTCCGATATATCCAGCGAAAGCCGCCTTACGTATTTATCGATGCTTTTACTTACGCGGGAAAACCAGTCCCGACAAGTAGTAAGGGTAAACGGTAAAGCTGTAAATCAGTACCGCTGCCGGACGTGAACGATAGTTGACAGAATTAGTAACATTTTATGCACTCGTCCAAGAATCTCAATTAATTACAGATTATTATTTTCTATAACGATTCGTATGATTTTTATTATCTACAAGAAAAAAAAAAAGTATTGCTGTTAATCTTTCTATTCGATTTTGTCCTTGATTTTTATGTCTTTTCAAGTTTGCCATCTATTTAATGAGAATATATGAAGGAATTAAAATTTTTCAATTTTAGAAACATGAAAAGATTCTAACATGAATTTTTATTTATAAGATTGTTTTCGATGTCAGGTCAAAGTACACCAGTACAGAAAGATCGAGCGGCAAATATTCAACAGAGGCGAGTACCGTTATAATCTAGGGTGTATTCGCAGCGAGCTTCTCTGTTTTTCTCTCTCTCTCTCTATCTATTTCTCCGCTTGTCTCGGATCACGTGCAAGGCAAACGGGAGAGGAAAAGACGGAAAAGCATCTTGGAAAGAGTATCAGCGGCCGGCTGTAGAAACGTTAATGGAGACGGGCACTCGCTATCCGCCTAAGTATAGTACTTACGGTGCCTGTATATCCTTCGGTCCGTTATACGCGTAGGTTCGGAGCGCTTCCGCCGGCTGGCTAATCGAGTCTATGGTTGGCTAATTGGCTCCGTTCGCCGCCGCTGACCTTGATCTCTCTCGCGGCTCCTTTTATTCCGCCATTTCTATTCCACCGGCGTGCCATCTCGTCGTCGCCCGGATGTCGCGTCGATTCTCGTCTCACCCGCGCGGAGAGCACAATTACCTCATCCCGAGAAAGTTTCGTAAGGATAAAGACAGGCGAGATGATAATGGATAGTTACAGTGCATAATAATTGTTAATATATAGAAAACGTATATGTGGTATTGATTAGAATTAATATTGTATAATCGAATCAATCACATACTACTTCAACATTAAGTTTTTTTTTTCATTTCATGCTTTATACAACTTACATTTTTATAAATCCCTTATTCATAGAAGTGATGTGTTAGACACATCGCGAAAAAAGAAAATTAATTTTTTGATTGATGGGAAGTTAATGTTCGCTTTCTTTTGTATCCAAGACTTTTTATGGATTGATGAGACTATCGATGGTATCGCGAGTTAGTTCTACGTACCGAAATCTGACGAGAGAGAGATCTGGCAGATAGAAAATTGTCGGTGCGCCGCGGCGTGACAAAAGGCGACGACACGTGTAACAATGCCAGATCGATCGCCGAGATCGATCGGCGTGACGAAACGGCCAATCGATTGATCGGCCGATCGGTCGATCGCAAAAGTGCAACAATGCCCGCAGGTCCCACGACACGGCCACGACGGCGGTGTGTTCCACGAACTTTACCATTTGTACTAACCGCGAACGGGGCGGCTCGATAATCCGCATTAACATGGGAATACGAGTGCATTTCGAGGCCGAGCCTCAATAACGTATTGCCTATTACGTGGAAACGATACCGGCTCGATATCTCCGTACACACCTCGGACACGTTCGCCCGCGTTGCGACAGCTCTCTTCCAATACTCGTATCGAGTAATTTCGACTAGGAATCTCGCGGCAAGGCTGAATCAGCAGTTATGCCATTGTACGGATCACAAACAATCGCGGAACGAATGCACCAATGAATTTATCAGCTACCAATGACTGATTTCTAGATCGATTGACATTTTAAATCAGCATACAAGTTTTTAATTTTATTATGAACTTATTAATTATTATCATACTGACAGTAAACTGTCTTTCATAACTTTCGTGATTTTTTTACGAGTCTTTTATTATCAAAATTTGGATAACATATTTTTTTGTAAAATCAACAAAATTTAGCGAGGAAAAGCTTACGCTAGAAAATTTCTAAAAGCATTATATAATAATCAGCGATTTAACTTTTAAGAAGAATTTATGCGAACTTATGTGATCTGTGTGAAATTAGTTTTACTTGTGTGATCGTACTTAAATATATAACTTGTCGG